CCAGCAAATGTCTTTTTAGAGACTCTTTGTGGGAAACCCTTCAAATGGATCTGGCAGTTCCTGTTTCACCAGCCACTTGTGATATATTTTTACTGTCTTACTGCACAGTGTAAAAGCAGATACATTCTCAAGACAGCAAGGCTCTGTTAAGAATCCTGAGGGGATTTATTATTTGTTGATAAACTTTATTGTTACAGAATAAAAAATTAGTCATTTCACCCAGATAAATCTTGGGTGCTCTATGATTAATTACACTAAAATATATTCTTGCTATTTTCAGGCCTTAGCAAACTGTTGTACACTTTTCTTTCTGATGGCTATTTGGTGTATTCATTTTTATTTGGGATGCTTTTTGGATAAAATGTGTGAGTCTTGAAAAAGAAAGACACTAAACACTGAAAATTTGGTATTTAGCCTTGCAAGCTGCAAACAGCTTGCACTTCTGCTTTGCCCTGTACTGGTCCCTTGTGAGCTCTAAGTTTTATGGGATTTTTTTTTGTGAGTTTTCTGGGTAATTCTTTAATGTAAATAACACTGCTGTACAAAGGGCCAGGGGCTCTATGGAGCCATTCAGAAAATGGATGTAAAACATGCTTTATTCCTGTATTTATCAAGTAAGTAACAATCATGAGCAGCCAGTCCACCTGGGCTTAATCTCAGATCCATGAAATGTTTTATACACCAGGTGGTAAGACCCTAAATCAGCTCTTTTGGTACAAAAGCCTGCTGGAAGATGAGTGGATGGGGCTGATTTGGGGAGCCTTCGTCCAAGGGCTTTTCCCCCCTTTCTTTGTTAGTAAACCTCCTTAAAATTAGGTGCCTCTTTGTATTGATTCAGCACCTTGTCATACAAACATTAAAGAAAGCCTACCTTAAATGCTGATTATTGCTGATACTGGCCTAGCATCAGCCCACAAAGTGAGACAGAAACCAACAGACAGGAGATGGAAGTGTAAACTAAACTCTTTCTTTTTTTTCTGATGCTTGAGATAAACCCTCAGCAGGTAGTGCAATCTTTCATACCAGCCATAAGGTGCTGAAAACCTATTTCATAAATTTCTTGGATATATGTCACATATTTCTGCAGTTACTCTGGGCCAAAAACAAGACCTGTGGGTTCTAATTTAAAGTATATGAAGAGTTGTAATGAATAAATGAGTCCAAATCCACTCTATGCTTAAATATCAGATAGTTTTCCTTTCAGTAAGCCCTGCTGGACAAGGAATTGTATCCTTACAGCAATAAAACAAGTGCTTCCAAGGAGATATTGCCATTCACACCACACTTTGTAGTGACAGAGCACAGAAATCCCTTATTCCATTTTGTTTCTGTAACTTGTTGGAACCACAGTTTCCCTGTTCCTTTGGAATTTGGTGGCCTGAGATGCACATGTCCTTTTCTGCTGCTTCATGTGCTGCAGTGTTTCCATTTCTGTTCTCATCTGACCAGGTCCAGGTTTCTTCTGTTAGTTGCATAAAAAGAGGTCAGTGGCTTCACAACAAGGTGTTGTCACATATAATTAGCCCTGCATTCTTCTGAATTTTAGAGAGATAATTGCCTTCCCAAGACTTCAGTGGAACAGATAGATCTGTCTCTCAGTCCCTTTGTGATTTCAGTGTAAACATGCACGTGTTGCAGAGCATAATTTAGATTGAAAGTAAATAAGATCTGCGCTGTGACCTGGGATGAGAAGCCCAGTGGGAGAGTGTTTCTGGCCCCATGGTTTTGTCATAATGACTTTCACAGCACATGTTGGTGACAGCTGGCATGGGAGCTTCTGTGACCTGATTGTGGTGATACCCAGAGCCCTTCAAACATGTTCTGACTCATGTTGGTGGGATGGTTTGAAACAGAGTCTACAGAGAACAACAATTGCCAAAATTCTGCTACCCCAAATATGCCTCTCTGCTGAGAGGAGCTATAATGCTAAAAACCAGGGCTGAGAGCATCAAATCAGCCAATGGCTTTTACCACACCCTTTGACAAAAAAGGGGAACACAGAGTTTATACAGCTATTTCTGTTGGCCAGGCCTCAGCAGCAGACAGGATGAATGAACACTGACTTTTAAGTACTCTCCATTCACTAAGGCTTAGTTTGGATTTTGGAAAAATGCTCATCTCATCCCTGGACTTTTCCCTTCTGTGGGGTTTTCCTACTGCTAAGTGAACAGCCAAATTCATCTTGATCCCAGCAGAAATTTAGTAGAAATATTAAGCAAGCAAAGTCATTCTCTCAAAAATATCAGTTAACGTAATTTCATTTGCATATCTAAGAGGAAAGCTACCATTTAATTTCTCAGAAAGATATAAAGTGATTTTTCTCTTGGATTCTTGTCTGCTTAGTACCATTGCTGGCAGAGTATTTTCCAAATAGGTTTGAAATAGTTGGGCTGAGAGGGATTTTGAGATGCATGTGCTTGTGTCCTTAACAACTGTGATGCTAATAATAAATGTCTGATTCTGAAATATTTGCTCATACAAGTAGTACTTTTTTACATAAGCAAACCTACACATTGTAAGGATTTATCTGAGAAAATTTTGCTCCTCTGAGTGAACTCTGCCAGCTGCAAGCCTTTGAAGTCTGTATACCATAGCCCAGCTGATGTGAGATATTTTAGAGTCTGGCCAAAGATCCAAGATGATGACACATGACATTCAGAAAATAAAAGAGCTCTTTGAGTGTCCTGCAATTTTTGTTTTCCTCAGTCCTCAGCTCTCTCAGCAAAGAGAATTTTTTGTCTCAGTCTCCATTAATACCTCTAAGACAGCTCTGAACTTTCCAGCAGGGCTGTAGGACTCTGTGCCACATACAAGGACATCAGCAGGTGGCCTGTTCTAAACTCCCCTGGCTGTCTCTTTTCCCTCCAGCCTGCCACATGTTTTGATTTTCTACTGAAGGCATCTCTTCATACTTATTTTGGTGGGCTTATTTCTCTGTCATCTGACAACACAGCATGGCTTAGAACCATGAACAATCATCCCAGCCTCAGATCAGAATTTATACATCTACATCATTTTCTCCAGCCCACTGCCAGGATATTGGAAGACAAAAATGTCTCAGTATTTAATACCAATGCATTACCAGTTTTTTTCAGATCTGTAGGCAGATTCAGTCTTCCAATGCTTTTTCTTTAAGGAATTGTATCAGTTTTAGGACTTCATCAAAGCTGGAATAAACTCTAAGGCTGCATGCATCAGCCAGGTCTCAGGTATCAGCATCAGAAGATTGAAGAGCTCTTTGGTATGATTGAGTGAGAATGAGAAAATGGTAATTTATTTGACATCATCTGACACAGGTGGATCTAAAAAGGACACTTGTACTAAAATAAATGCTGGCTTGTGAGGAATTCACTTGCATTCTAAGACCTTCCCTGATACCAGCACATCAGAGAATCACCTCGTGTGAAGAGTCCTCATGGATCTGAAGCCTGAAAGGAGATAGGATTTGGGGATGTGACCTCATGATGTCCTTGTAATGCAAGGAGTGAATTGCATTAGCAAGAAGGAAGTCACATCAATCCAGCATCACTTTCTGCATTTCTTAGGTAGAAATCCACTGCTTTCACCTCCGTGTCTGTTTTTCAGGGAGCTCATGCAGCAGTGTAAGGATTCAGTGTTTGGTTTCAAACTGTAACAGAGTTTGATTTGGTATTTACAGGATGATGTGCCTTGTGTTTATTGGTGTGCTTTGTGTTTATCTGCCTCTTCACTGAGCCCAGAAGCTGCAGAGCTGTTCTAGACACCACCCTGCAGGTTTGCCCTCCAGAGTGGCAGGGACTGAGTCGTGCTTTCTTGTGATACTGATGTGCTGGGCATGGCCCCTGCTGGAGCTGGCAGCTCCATCCAGGACATCTCATTTTTTTTAGCATAAGCATTAAAAAAAATACTTGTGCAAACACACAGTAGCCTAGGAAAAAATAATTTCAATCCAGCTTGCTTGGTGAAGAAAGTGTTAAGAAATTTCTCCTTTGTTCTCTGGGACAGGTTGCTTTCTGAGAGCTGCTGGGCAGCAAAAATGGTTTAAATATTTAAGTAGAAGCCAAATGAAATAATTGCTAGGAGATTTATTTATTTAGTTGCATATAGTAACATGACAGAATTGCAAAAAGTGACACCCTGTATAAATCTGTATAAAATTATTCATATTTAAACCTTTCACACTGATGTCCTGACTCCTGATCACTGTAAGGGACTGCTATCACCAGTGGAAAATCACCACCTCTTAAATCACTGGCATTGACTCTGCTGTTATTATTTACTGCTTAGAAAATAAGTAATAAACTGTCCCCTGTGAGATGAGCTGCTGTGCAAGCTGCCCAGCTCCTCCCCAAGGTCCACAGAGCACAGACTGATACGAAGATGCAACTTAGCAGGTCATACAAACACGAGGTCAACTTTATGCCTTGACTCAATATAGTTTTATCTCCTGACTGACAGGGGCTCTGATATCACCCAGCACTGCTCCCTGTTTTATTTATGTGGAAATAAAGCAAAAAAAAAAAAAAAAACCAAAAAAAAAAAAAAAAAAAAAAACAATTCCCTTTGTAAAAAAAAAAAAAAAAAAAAAAAAAAAAAAAAAAAAAAAAAAAAAAAAAACCAAAAACAAACAAAAAAAAAAAACCCATGCCTTGTGTCTGGTTATAATGATGGAGAATGTCTCCAGCTGACCAAGGTGTCCTCATTAATGTCTGTTCTATATTTAGCCTTTGCAGAGCCCCCAGTTTAATCAAAGACCTGGGAGCCATGGCAACGACACCGAGCATCTGGGCGTGTGAGATCTGCCAAACACCCTCACAAAGTGCAGGATGGAAAACACACAACAGCTTTAAGTGGATTAATGCATTGTTCTTTTCTGCTACACGTTTTGAAGTGTTTAGGAGAGCTTCTCAGCCACAAATACTAGACTGTTTTTGCAAAAAAAAAGAGCTCTATTAACACAGGTGGCAGTTACTAATCTCCTTTTTTTTTGTTGTTGTCTTTTTCTTAATTTTGTTTTGCAGGTGTATCAGCATTCATATACAGCATATTATGTCCTCAGCAAAATACCTCATGGGTAAGCAATTTTTCAATGTCTTCATTTAAAAACCCAGCCATTAAGAATCCTGCAAAACAATGTGTATTGTGACAAATGGTTGCCTGTGACAGCCCTTTGCAGTGGCCTGGCTTTCAGCTGCAGCATCCACTGAGCTGTGTGCTGTGCAAAAGATGACGAAGTCTGGAAACAGAAGTACTCAGCTTCCCCAGAGAGTCAGACTACATGAATTTCATATTCCAGATTTCAGGGGTTTTGTCTGGAATATAGATGTGCTGGTGTCTGGCTGAGAGCCGTGGTTGGCCACTCAGCAGAGCACTGGAGAGGAGAAGGCTCTGGGGAGACCAAATTGCAGCCTCTCAGTGCCTGAAGGGGACCTGAAGAGACCTGGAGAGAGACTTTCTACAAGGGCATGGAGTGTTAGGACAAGGTTCAAACTGAAAAAGGGCAGGTTTAGACTGAATATTTGGAATAATTTCTTTCCTCTGAGTGTTATGCAGCCTGGTGGTACAGGATGCCCAGAGGAGTCGTGGCTGCCCCATCCCTGGGAGTGTTCAAAGTAAGGTTGGATGGGGCTTGGGGCCTCTTGGTCTGGTGAAAAGTGTCCCTGCCCAGGGCAGGGGGGGTAGAACTGTGTGATTTTAAGGTCCTTTCCAACACAAACCATTCAATCATTCTCTGATTCTTTATTCTTTGGCTTTGATTAGTTGCAGTTTGTTTCAAAGTATGGTTGGAACATGGAAATTAGGAGATTTCTCACCATCAACCCTGTTAAAGCTGTAGTGTCCCTGTGACACACTCCAGACTTCTTCAGTCTCTTCCCTTCCCTTTGACAATCTGCTCTTTGTTTTCTGCTTTTTTTTTTTTTTTTTTTTTTGTCGGGGGGGTAGGGTGTTTGTGTGTGTGCGTGTGGTTGTTTTTGTTTTGTTTTGTTTTTGTTTTGGTATGTTTCAGTTTGTTTTGTTTGGTTATGTTTTGTTTTATGCCAGTTGCTTGGTAGGTTGGTTGGTTGGTTGGGCTGGGTTTTTCCTGGGAATTTACTCAATATGCTTAGTTTTTGAGAACTCCATCTCTCTGGCAATGTATCTGAGTAGTAGCTTGTGGGCTGAAAGCATTCAGCAACAGGATGAAGACACAGCATGAGCACATAAGTTTTGTGTCTGCAGCAAACCTGGCTAAGAGCAAAAAAGGCTTGACTGACAGTGCACTTCTATTCCAGACAAAACAAAGGTGGAAAAAAATAGAAGTATCATGCATAACACGTATTAGAAATGCTACAAAAATAGCAATACAGTGGTCCAAGAAGCTTTCTGACACTGGATGATCTTTCTTTGTCCCTAACAACCAGCTCCTTATTCCCCCCAGCTCCAATTCTACCTCCCAGCTGTGGCTCCCCTTGCTCTCTGTGTTTGGTTGGGCAGTGGTGCAGGAAACTGAAGAGTTGGATATGTCAGAGGAGAAGTTTCCAGCATAAAGGGCAAATCTGGAAAGTGAGAGCACACCAGAGGGCACACAGGTGTGTCAGGCATTGGTGTCCCCACAGCATGATGTGGTGGTGGTATACCAGGAGCTGAAGAAGGGCTGGAAGGATCACTGAATCTCGTGTTGGTGAAGGTGTGGTTTATAGAGTTTAGGCTTTTAGGCATTGTAAACTATATTGTGCAGTGGATATTTCATTGACCTTCCAGGTGATGATGGTGCATGTGAGTGGTGGAAAGGCAGCACATTGCCATTTCCATGGAACATGGGCATTTGTCCTTCCTGTGGAGCTCTGTGTGTATTTTAGGGTGTTACATGAACAAAGAGGACAGGACTACGAGGTGAAGAGGGAGTGTGATGCAACAGGAGGTGAAATACATCTGCTGAAAATCACCTATTTACCATTTAACACAGGAATATTGCTGTGATGGATATGTGTGGATGAGGGTTGTGGAGGGCAGGACACAGCCCACTGTCCCAGCACAAGGTTCAGTTCAGTTTGACATTCCAGCTTCTTTGGTGATGATTGAATTTGCCATCCACAAGCAGCTACCCTTGTCCTCCACCTGTCAATAACAGGAGGGACAGAATTCTGCACTGAGCAACGACCCCTTTGCCATCTTTACAAACTGTTTTCAGTTTTTCCTCTTCTGCAAGCAGGCACAGCTCTCCCCCCTGTTCCTGTGTGCCCGTGGCCCTCGGCATCTCTCAGCTCAGTGGCTGAGACAGTGACTGCAGGGCAGCAAACTCAGTCCCCTGCACAGTGTCCCTCCTGCCCAGCAGACATCACTCCTGGAAACTGGCTGTGACAGTGTCCCTGTCCCCTCTCTCTATCCTGCTCCCCATCCTCAGCTATGATGTGGCAGGCCAGGCAATTTCGGATTTACACCCACTCGTGCCCTTGCTACTCCCCTGATGAGGCTAACTAATAAGGAAGCCAATTAACCTAATCTCTGGCATCACTTTTTAAATAACATGCCATTAATCTGCCAGCATAAAATTGGTTTTTAAAGGGAATTTTCTAATTATTTTTGCCACGTTCTGCATGCTCTCCAGTCAAAAGGAGCTCATACCAATGTTTTGCAGATTTCATTTCAAGCTTTCAGTAAGTTTGACAAACCAATTTGGGAATGTCATCAGTAACTATGTTCCCAAATGGTATTTTACACAGGACTGCAACATTTTTCCACTAGAGATGTCGCCAAAGCAAACCCCTCACGCTGGGTCTGTATAGGACAACTAATAGATACCACTGACACAGACTCAGAGGATCTGATTAAAAAATTAAAACAAGCCCGAGGCAGAAGAAAGAGATCACACAGATTTTGCACCTCCCTTCTGTGATTTCAGCTTTCTCACAGCCTCTTGGTAAACTGGGGGTAAAAGCAGCCACTGGTTTGACTCATTTGCCTTCTGCTTTCAGTGGCTGATGGTTTGCACAGGGGCTGAGATCTGCATTCCCTGTTCCTGGCCGGGGGTGTGCGGGGTTTTTGTTCCATTCCGATTTCTCCTGCTTTCACCCAAAATCGCGCTGCTGGCGCCGGCTGCCATCTAGCGGAACCATCCCCGGCTGAGCATCTCCGCCCTGCCCCTCTGCTCCCCTCTCGGCTGATTCCCACATATCGCTGCCGAGAACGCTTGCAGCTGTCTCCGTTATAAATATTTTTGCAAGGCTCTTCTCATATCCCCGCATTTGCACTCGCAGCATTGCAGTTGTCAACTGCTTGTAATTTATAGGTGCTGGGACAGCATCTGCAGGTCCAGATGCGGAACAGGGAGCTCTCCTGCAGGCTGCGGGGGAAATGTGGAACTCCAGTACCATATGCATAAAATATTATTTTCTAATTTTATTTTTCCTAGTTTTGGAAAATAAAAATGTAGGCGACCACCTACTTGACGTTCCCCCTCCTTGCACAGCCCCCTGAATATCAGGCTAGCTCAGAGGTCCTAGGCTATGAGAGGAGGAATATCAGGAGATGGCAAAGATTTCCAAAAGAGGCTCTTACCCTGATATACGTTGGTTCAGCTCTCTTTATTCTGTGATATCCATGTGGAGAACAGGGCAAAAGAGCACGAACAGGAAATGTCAGGGGTCTGTATAGACTTTGGACAGAGTGGGCTTCCCTGGCAGGAAGGAGGAGTCCAGGGTTATCCTGATCAGAGTCACAGCGTCCCAGGGAAGGGGAAATAGAGTGCCCATGAGCTCACTGTAACACCTACTTACAAAAACTAGGCACTGAAAATTGTTTTCTTCTTTTGTGGCTCCAATATGAATTATCTTAGTCATTCACAGTCATTTCACTGAAATAAGGGGGAAAAAATTACTTCAGAGTTTTTTTTGGTCAGGCTGGGACTGAGCAGAATGTTTCCCAAACCCAGTTGCAGGATTTCCCTCACCAGCATTAAAGTGTTTTCACACCAGTGTGTGATACAGGACCACTGGTGTGATCGGGCATTGCAGGTCCTAAGCAAGAGCTAATTTTGGATAGGATATCCAAGGGGATATTTAATCTTTTTTAATCTTTTGCTGTGGCCAGCAGAAATGTTACATTTTTTTACAGTCGTCTTTGCATTCCCCCAAATAAAGCCCAGCATAAAATGTTTTTTCAGATCTCCCAGCACCCACCCAGTTCTGCATGAACTGAATTTCCCTCTAGACACAGCCAAGTGTCAGGGATTAATGCTGACCCCTTGTAGGAGCTCTCAGCACATCCAGCTGGGACATGTCAGTGGGAGCTTCCAAATGTTCTTACCAGGATCAGGGAAAAAATCAGCAGTTATTCCCACTGCTCACTGATTTTGCATTTGAGAAGGAGGGAGTTGTGCACAGTCACTCCTAAGCAGAATCTGTATTTCTTGCTGGATTCATGTGTTGCACTCAGAGGAACATGGCAAGCACAAGCAGGAGAGCTCCTGGAGCTGAGTTCAGCTTTTCCTGCCTGCACTGCCAGGGTTTCACAGGTCTGTAAAATCCTGCACGAGTGCCCCATGCTGAGCCCCAGTAACTTCAAGAGAAGTTCCAGGAGTGGAGTGAGTGCACAAAACGTGCTGGAGATCCACAGAAGTGATAACAGGGAGAGGAACTGAGCTGGTGCTTCACTGTGAGTAAATTTTCAAAGTGCTGTCTATAGATCTCTGTGCAGAGCTCTCACTGTTCTTCCTACTTCCTTTTTTATTTTTTTTTTCCCCACAAACCACTGGCAGGAAAGAAATAGACTTTAAAGTTAATTAGCAAAAACTTAATCAGTTTTGTATGTATCCCATTGTATATTTTGAAAGCCAAGAAGTTTACCCTGGCACATGTTCCCATTTCCATGTTAACAGTAAAAAGAAATTGTGATTCATTATTTAAAATCATAGATAAAAAAACTTCAGGGAACTGAATTTACTTCAGAAACCTGCCCATTTGATCAAGTCTGCTCTATTTCCATCTGTTAAACATCATCTCTTTAGCACTAAAAACATTCTGTGCCTCAGTGTCCCCATCTGCAAAGCAAGAAGAGAAATTGTACCTACCCAATGGAGGCAAAATGTGATAATTG